GACTTCAACTCCCAGAATTCCCTAGCCAGCATGCTGGCTGGGGAATTCTGGGAGTTGAAGTTTATGCATCTTCAAGTTGCCACAGTTGAGAAACACTGCCTCAAATTTTTAAAAATCTTTCTAGTAATCTAACCTTTCTTCAGCCAGGGATCATCCAGTTATGGTGGGACTTTAATTCTCAGAATTCTACAAGTTGGTCTAAGATATCTAGAAGGTGCCAGTTTGGTAAAGTCTCATCTCAAGAAACTACTATCCTTCCCATACATTATGCAACAATGATATTTATATCTACACTGAAAATATCCTGAAAATTAATAGTCTCTTACCTCTATATGAAGTCCATTTCCAAAGATTACATAGCTCTGCAACAAACAGATATAGCCATTAAAAATATAACTAGCCCTCCCAATATAAACCACTAAGAGAGTTAACACTGTGCAATGTTTTGGCATCAGTGAAATTCAATTACAGAAGCACATATTACTCCACCCAGACAATATTAAACATTTTTAAACTATTTTTTAAAAAAATAATGAAATGGATGTGTATTTAAATTGCCTTATTCAAAACCAAATCAACATTAGATTTCCACATTTAATACGGTCATAAAATGGAAGTAAGCTGTGGAATTTCATAGAAGTGAATAAAAATGAAATCTGAAAACAGTTAAATCAGCATTAATAGATCATTTTTGCTAGTTCTGCATTTTAGGCAAGCACTCACAGAAAAGAGAGAGCAAAGACACCTTTTCAAGCATGTTCCAGGGACATGATAATTCCACTTTCCTCTTGCAACAAACCTTGAAATGGCTTAATTACATTTCAGCATGTAAGAATATGTAGCCAACTATGTGGCACTTATTTTAATAATGGTTTGCCAGGTGTAGTCAGGGACCATGTAGCACTTGAACTGCCTGTGTTAGTGCTGCAAGTCAGCTAAACACAATTAAGATTTTATTAACAGAAGATGATCCAGAAATGTCAGTATGGTGTATACTCAGCATACATTTTAAAAATGTGGCTTAATCTGCTTTTTTAGTTAAGATCTTCAGTTCAGCTAAGCGTTTTTTTTTTTTTTTTTAAATACTGTGGTTTTCTCCCTCTGACATATCCACCTTCTTTAGGCTTCTTTAATATTGCAGATATTGGCAAACAAGAATGCATTTGGGATTTCAATTTGAGAAACCACATACCTTTATAAATTGTGAACAGAGGACACCATTGTGCTAAGGAAACTAAAAGCGTACACAATATTCATCTGGGAAACTCCCTGCCCTTAATATATCCACAATAAATTATTGTCTTTCAAGTCATGGAAAGTTCTTGAAAAGTGTTTCTAGTCTACGGAAGGTTTCTGTTCTAAGATGGATTTCTTTGGTTTGAGTGATAAATGCATTTTCTTTTCCCATGACAAAGCCCGTCATACCCTTATATAATAGTTACCTGTTTCATGTTTCTGTCAGAAGGATGCAGGTATAAATCAAAGTTTCCTCAAGAAACTTTGTAGTGGCACAGAAGTGTGTGAATACTTATAAAGAACATTCTGGACTCCTTTCCTTACAGCTGTCTCTCAGGTGTTGAAACACATTAACTAGACCTGGGATCTAAATCTCTAGAGCCATTTTTCTCAATCTGAGTAGCTTTAAGATGTGTGGACTTCAACTCTCAGAACTGCTGGCTGGGCAATTCTGGGAGTTGAAGCCCATCTATATACTACTAAAACTTTCATATGTGTAACCTTTAACTGGGGGAAACACTGCATCATAGGGCAACAATTTTTGAACCAAGGTACTTCAGACAGGCTAACTTACAGAATGGATCCAAAATCCAGGGTTAGAGTTTGGGAAATTACTCATGTGGGATTGAAGTTTAGGGAATTTGTGGCTGCTTCAGCACTGGAGTGCTCCCACACCGCTGTAGTCAGCCCAGGTCACGTGACCTCTTTCCCACCTCCCTCTATCCCTTGTGCCCAATTGGCTGGCGGCAAGGCCCGATGGACAAGAGGCAATTGGCTGCTTTGGAAAGGAGGCAGAAATTTGAAATCTCTTAACAGCGGTGGGCATTGAGGGAAGGATGAGGGAGAGACTTGGATGCTTGCTGGCAAGGTAGGGCTGGCTGGGGGGTACCAGTGGTCAACGGCTGAGCCCTCTTCCTCTCTTGAGGGAGGGGGCCCCTGAGAGACACACTGGAATGGGAAACGGGGGTGCAATTTTCCTCATGGTCCATGGCTCCCTTAGTTCCACCTCCCCCCAGCAAAGTGGCAGGCAGTTCTGTGGGTCAGCCAAGGAGGAGGAGGGGGAGGGGGAGGATGCAGCTTCACCGGGTCTCTCCTGAGGGTTGTGAGGGGAGGGCAAACAGCACAAGCATATATTAAAGAAGGAAGGAAGGAAGGAAGGAAGGATTTCTGATGCTCCCTGCCAGCTTCCCACAAACAAAGTCAATGGAGAAGCTGGCAACAAGTTGTATGTCACTCCCGCT